GACATTTTAAAAAATTTGGAAGATGGCAAAGTACGAGGGGTATTTTATATAAGTACAAGATTTATATAAATATGAAGTGAAGATTTAGATAGTTAATGAATTATTATAGAATTGTAGTCTGGAGTTAGAGTTAATAGTTCATTAATCGTTTATATCGTATAATTGAACATAACACGGTGTTAGAAGTTAAAATGTAATTAGACAACCTAAAAACACGTGGAGAGTCAACTCCAGTCTTATAGTCGCCAAGGCAGTTAAAAAAATAAACTCGAAGAAAAATGTCAGACTCTGAAGAAGATGTTAGTTCAAGAACGCAGACTCCACAAAAAATACATATGTCCAGTCACATTGGGAACATTAGAGGTTCATTATAACTAACAGAAAACTTAGCCCATAAATGGGAGGAGTGGTATACAAATTTTAAAATTTATCTAAGAGCCAGTGGTCTAGAAGATGATAGAGATTCAAGAAAAGTAGTGCTTCTACTTCACTGTTTGGGTGATATAGCTCGTCATATATGTGACAAAGTCACTAAATTTTGATCTCAATTAATTTAAAAATGTATATTTCAATTAATTCCCGCCTGAGGACATGTAGAAGATCCCCGTATTTCTGTTTCCCAGGAATTACCGTTTTCAACAATTGCGAGTACCCTCGTATGTTAAAATATTCCTATATTTGCCGAAATCCGAATAAGCATTTTTTTAGAGTCGATTTCGTACCGATTATCTACTTTTATTTGTCAAGGTACTAGAAGGATATTTTTTTATTTTTAAATTGTAAACAGTATCCCCCCACTCAAGTTTACCGAAAAACATAAATTCAATGACATCTGAGAATTACACTCTCTTGATTGCCGACAGCCGAAAACTATTCGCCCTTCTATAGTGCCTAGTAAATACTCCGTGAGTGCCGTGATTTCGAAAAAGATCATTGAATAACCCCGTTTATCTTCTAAGGTAGGAACCGTATATTATTTTTTATATTGACTTTTATATAATTAGTTGAGACACCCGTGCGACAAGTGAAAAATTTTTATTCATATCCAGGATATTTCATTTCATCCCTCAGTGGGAAACCGTTAGCAATTTTTATTTGAGGCTAGACATAGGCTAGACTCTGAGTGCTCTCATTGTCAACGACTATATCCATTTTCTCTTAAAACTTGCCTAGTTAACATCAAAGTGAGAGGTTCAACCTGTTTTCAATTTTTTTTATTATTTTATTGTTTTATTTTCTTTTTCGATTAACCTAAACAAGTTGGAGCATGCATACGACTACTAAGGCAAAAAAACACCTTCAGTTTTTAGAAAAAATAGCTGTAATACGAAGTTGACAGATTGTCAAGTTTTTCGTCTATTTGAATATTAAATTCTCATAGGGTCAGTATTGACCCTGCCACACCGGTTAAGGGTTAAGATACATTTAATATTTAAATGCCCTCTATGCAGATTTTGAAATAGAATTTTAGGATATTTTGAATATGGTAATATCACAACGAATACATTATCCATATAGTGACGTTAAAGAAATAAATTTTATATAACAAGTGGAATTGATCAGGATAATAACTAACAATAAACTTAAAGTACAGTTAAGAAACAAAGATCAACTATTCTGACTTTAAAAAAATATACTTGTTACTTCTTCCTTAATATGGAATATCGCGAAAAAGTTTTTATTGGCTTTTTCGTCTTCATATCAGTGGTTGCCAATCTTCTAAAAAAAAAAAGAAAAAAAATGAGAAACAAACCAGACCTCATTAACAGAGATTTTATATAATACCTGATAAATTGATGCCGAAAACTAAAAATTTATTCCAAAACACCAGTATCATCTCTCCCCTAAAAAGCGTTTATTTTTCCTCATTGATTTTGTGTAATACATAGATACTTAATTTTATTTTGGTTGGTTTTAATTTCAGTTTCAATAATAAATGTATTAAGGAAAACGAAGTTTTGGCCCACTAAGCTCATTGCTTGCTAAATCAGATTTAGTAGTTTATGTGACCAGCCCATTAATTTCGATGTTACCTCAAGATATCGTCGAATATTTTTGAGTCCAATATCTCGAAAAGGTTATGAGCCCAAACGAAATAATTTATTGGTCCATTGAGTCCATGGCTTATCCTATTATCCTAAGCAAGAAGGCAGTAGCTCTAATTTTGTCATTTTCGGTTTTATTCTTTCTATAGGCCTCTTATACTTATATAACGGTACTTTATAAAGCTAGAAAGCCATAAGTGTTTATCCATTGATTTGGCACACTATAAAAATAGCAGAAATTCAACTTGTTATTAAATATTCCTAAGCTAAAAGGCAGTAAGAATCTTCCAGAAGCTTCAAAGGCAGTATATCTTACATAAAATAAAGATACTGCTTTAAAATCTAGCAACGGCATGGCTTTATCACGACATGCCCCACCACAAATCTTTTGGGTTTAAAGTAAAGCATGTCGGCGCTTGTCAGTTTACTGTGATCACTCACTCTGTGTTGAGGTATTAATTGTATCATCAAGTTTCCGTACATTTATTACCCTTTTAAAAGTTTTTTTAGGTACGTATTATTATTGACTCGAGTTTTATTGTCACATATTATTAGTTAACAGTTTCAATAAAGATATTTAAAACATGGGATCTCGGAGTAAGAAAATATTACAAGTTCTGATTATGAAGAGTTTTAAATTAAAGAACCAGAAGCTAAAACATATATTAATTTAGAACCAGTCAGACTGCAATTCACCGAAAGTCAAGCTTTAACGATTTTAACGAGTTTTCAAGCCAAATTTAATGACTCACTTAAAGTCCCCGACTTTTCTGATTCAGAAGAAAGCGTTGAATCAGAATCGGATGACACATCTAGAGATATTAATTTAACTTTTATCAATAAGAGCATTACAACAGTTGCTTCAACCAATGCCATAGCTTAAAAAAGTATGGCCGTCTCTTGTAGTGAAAGTTCAGATGAAATTATACTTAAAAGGGAAAACTGAGAAAGAGACATGATAAAACAAACAAACCAAAAAAGAAAAGAAGAAAAGGCTCAAAAGGAACAAGACAAACATTATATTCAACGTGGATGCGTTGTATTTTATAGGAAATGTAAAACAATGAGAATCAACCAGCAGTATTGGTCTATGATTTGGCAAGAGAGAAGTAGTTTCATTTCGTCAAATGTCACCGTGCATAAAGTAAAAATAAGGCGGGGCTCTATAGAAAGTGCTCGAAAAAGGACATAAGTATTTCTTAGTGCGCAAAACATTTTTTCTGTGCAATCTAGGATACAATCTAAAGAACAACAAAGTGATCACAAATGGTTTGGTAAAAGAAGACCCTGCGATTATCGTACCTTCATTTGACAAAAGAGAAAAACATGCAAAAACACTATGAATAGACGGAGGATTAATACAAAAACATGTTGAATCTTTCAACCCTTCTGTGAAGAGAATGCTCTACTAAAAAGATATCTTCTGAGTTGTATTACCATTCGAAGCTTGCATATAGATTTTATTACATCTTATCCAAATATAAAATGTATCCAAAAAAGGGTATCTAAAGATTTAAATATTTCCCTCGCATCATTGGGCTATGAGGAGTGTGAACTATGTGAGAGTCTTAAGCGTCACAATCGTCGGAGGACTGCACTGACTGTAACTTCTGGAAACAGCATAATCAAAAAGACTAAGGAAGCTCGAGAAAAATACAGGGCTTATACAGAGTATGATTTTCCAACGAGCATAATTTGTGTTTTAGCTGACTTAGAGAAGGTTATTATGTTGCTTAGAATTAAAATATTCAAAAAAGTCGTGTTTTGCCAAAGAATTATAGTTTTTAATGAAACCTTTGTAGTCGTTGGATAGAAACAGAAAATCAAACCATTTGTATGCCTCTGGAAAAAACATGCTCATCTATACAGATAGCAGACAAGTACTACTTACTCTGAACAGACCACGAATTTATTCAGGGTTAAAACTAGAATGTCATGAAGTGTTGGACGAAGTATCCATCAACAACGTGGTCACCTTAAGATGGATCAAAGGTCACGCCACATCGAAAGGTAACCGTCTTGCTGATTCACTAGCCAAGAAAGCAGCCAACCAAATACTTTGTGGACCTCCCCCTTCTAGTGGCCTGACAAAATCAGTAGTGACAGACCTAATAAAAGAACATTTCCTTGTGAAATTCAAGGAAAGATGGGATTAAACAAGAAACTGCAGAGTTGTAAGGGAGCTTTTAAGTTATCCTGACAACACTGCAGTAAATAAATACTTGACTATGACTAGACAGAATCTGCGCCTAGGCACAGGTATTCTGACTGGTCATTGCCAAGTAAGGAAGCATCTCCATATCATGGGGCTGTCAGAATCTGCACTCTGCAGAGTGTGCGAACAAGAAAATAAGACGATCGAGCAGATCCTCTACGGTTGCTCGACGCTCTCATTTATTAGGAGATTTGCATTCAGAGAGTATCGGCTAACACCAGCCGATATAAGAGAAGCACCTCTTGACGACTTTGTCAACAACATTAAATATGTAGGCTGGCTCACGAACTAGAAGGTGCTTATCATTTTAGGAGGATTCACAAAGGGCCTAGTGAAGCATAACTGCCGTGGTAATAACCCAACCTCCACACGTTACAGATATAGATACCTCTGGCATGAATGCATATCAGGAAGGAAAAAAGAAGATTTAATAAGTACATTTCACGCATATATTATGCACATGCATGGTGTAGAGAATATAATTATTTGGCTTGACAACTGTGCGAGCCAAAACAAGAACTGGTCACTATTTTCATATTTAATGTACATTATTATTTCTAATGAAATTGCAGCACAGACACTTACCTTTAGATATTTTAAACCAGGACACACCTTTCTGTAAGCAGACTGTTTCCACAAACAGGTGTAACAATCTTTGCAGCAAATGAAAAAAGTTTATGACTTCGCTGATTGTGTCTTGCGGTAAGTCAGCTAATTCTTGAAATGTTGAGACCAAAGAAATGAAGCTGGAGGATTTCTTTCTTTGGCCTGACAACTCGTCAATTTACGAAATAAATCATACAGCACCTCGGCCCCACTTGAAAGACATGGTTAAAGCTATTGTTAGGCGAGGTAGCTTTAACTTGTTTTACAAAAAAAAATTTGCTTTAAATGAAACAAAAGAATTAAATTTTTTGAAATTAAAAGTAGCCAAAGGTGGCTTCACAATACCTGCAGTCATTTTAAAACCAAGAGGAATTAAAGAAAAAAGGAAACAAGCGATTTTGCAAAATTTGTTTCCATTAGTACCTGAAAATCGAAGACAATTTTGGCAAAGTATTCCCGTCAATGATGAAGCCGTCGATTTAAGATCGCAGATTGATGATATTTAATACTTTTCAAGTTAACGATGTTTATTAAAGTATTTTTTATTTAATATACAGAGTTTAATGGTGTAACTGTTTTGGAGCAATCACTGATAAGAGAGTTTTTAAGTACTAAAGTTAATAAAACGAAATGCTTTTTGTTATTGCACTGCTTTATTTTGTAGAAATACTACACTAAAAAGCAGTAACCGCCAACTAATAGAATTTACTGCTTTTTTGTTGTTCATTCTCACCGTGTTAATAATATAAATTGCTTAAAAGCAGTAAACGCCATTTTAATTATAATTTATAAAAATATCTTATAAAACTATACAATAGTACCCAGAAGAACTACAGCACAGTTAAGCAATTAAAAAATCCATAAATATTTTTATGATGGCTGTTGTTTAACAAAATCTGCATTATCTCGAAACTATAATTTGTGGAGATACTGCCTTCTTTCTTAGGACGGCAGTATGAGGCTCAATAGTTTGTATTTTTGATGATATTTGGGGTCCATATCTCGGTATGAGCCCAAACTGCAAATGTCACAAGCCCAATATGCCAAACCGAGAGTAAGTCTAGCGCCTAGCCCATTTGTAAATCTATTTTTATTTTCAAAAAGGGTACACCACCAACTTGATACCAACTTAAAAGAAGGCCTCAATTACATTCTTAAAGTTTTTAAACAAATTGTTCGAGAATGGATTTATTTTCTTTATTAATTTCTTAATTTAAATTCGCGTTATCTATTTTGACACTTTGCCCCACTTAAACGGTTCATGCTTTGGACCTTTTCAAAGAATCAAGAGACATCGATGTATCGCCAACAAAGTAACAAGTTCGTTCGCCGTCGCTTAATATTTGTGCCCTTGCTTCATGTGTGCCGCTCGCCGATCAGTCCAATATTCCAAAAGGTAAGGTGTCAAATACGTTATTAATTTATTTAGTTTGATTATTTGAATCAGCCCTTTTTGGCAGCATAACATCCTGTTTCACAAATTTTAAGATGTTTCTTTAATCGAATGCAATTGAAAATGAAACTTTTGCAGATAATGAACGTATTCATCGTTTCAATTTTAATGCACGGAATATCGAGTATCCAACCGACTGGCATACCGTAGCGTAACCATTGGATGGCGATATTGGAAAAACCATTAACGAACTTTTCAACCTAGCCGATATAGCGACTATTGCATTTTATTTTTAATTGAGTTGAAATCGAAGTTTCAATGCGTAGGCATTAGTGTGGGAATGAAGAGGAGCATGAGATAGCATTAATTAAAAACGAAAGCAGTTTTCAAAATAAAAAGGCTCTGTTAAGGTTTTATTTATATATAAGTGAATTAATTCATAAATAGTCCTTCTAGAATAAACCTCTTTGAATTGAAAGGTATTCTTACCTTAAATTTTCACATTTTTAAGATGATTGTATTCAATGAATTCATCTTTCCAAATCAAAGTTTTCTTTGGTAATTCGTTGAAACTTGCATTAATATCATAAGATGGAATTACGTAAATAGAACAAGAATAATATTAAATACATTTGTTCACAAAAATACAATTTACAATTTGCATTTTATTATATTGCATATTTGTGAAATACTATACTTGAAATGAAGCAATTTGAAATAATCTAACTCAAATTGTTTTCCTTTAGACACATCGCAAAAAATAGTATTAACTGTATCTAGTGTTCACAATACCGATTTTATGTTTATATTATTAATTTTAGGGTGTAACGGTTGGAACCGTTATTCGTTATTTTGACACATTCACCTCTACTCAAATGTCATTTGTCGTTTATTATTTTTAATATTTTTATTGGCCGTCTGATTTTTTAAGCATTGGTTATATCTAGACGGTTTATGGAGATTTATATATAGACGGTTTATTTGGATCTATATCTAGAAGTTTTATGGTTCTTATACCTAAGAGTTTGGTGCAATCTGAAGACCTATAAAAGATCGACACGTTTCGAGTTAAGTTAGAATACCAAAATTCACAATATCGTTCAAGTCCAGAATTAAGAATAAGGATCCTGAATCCCTTTGAAGAAGGCCTGAAGAATACCATGCAAATCACATTCCTTATATTACTACCTCCATAAGTGTGCTTTTGAATAAATCATCTTAAATTTGAATTAAGTAAAACTATGTGAATTAAAATTTGTTACTACCTTATCTAAAACTTGTTGTTACTATAATTTGTTAGTGGTTAGTGATTTTCTATATTTTTATCACTAATCTAAAGTCAAGTACAGTAAGTTTTAAATATGGTGGTGTCCAACTTCTATTTCAAAGTTATTTAATAACCTAACCCACGCCCAAAATCAACTGAGCCTAAACACATTATAACAAATAGATAAAATATCAAGTATCAAGTTACAAGGGAAAGAAGTAAACTCTGGGAATAAGATTGTTGGCTTGAACAATAAGGAGAAAAAATTAAACTGGTATATATAAAGAATATCGTAAGACTCAATTTTATTTAAAAACTGGTTTAAAGATATACAGGCTTTAGCCAAAGGTGGACTATTTTTAAGTTTCCAATATTTGTTGGTTATATTTTTAATATTCAGGATAAAGGAAGAATTCAGAATTTTTTTTGAAAACAGTTTAAATGTAACTAACTTTTTGCATGCTAGAAAGTGTCTTTGTAAATGAAGAGGACGCTCTTGTGCTTCCGCAAGAACCGCTTAAGTAGTTGAAGATTTAAAAGTACCGGGACATATTTTGACTGCTTTAACTTGCATACAATCTAATAACTTAGGTTCTCAGCTGATCCATATAATATACACCCATAGTCGATGATTGATCGGATGTAAGATCTATAAAACATTAACGACGTTGTTGTGTCTGCACCCCATTTGAATTTTGTGACACATTTAATAATATTAATGTCTCTTTTACATTTGGATAAAGTATAATCAATATGTTTTTTCATGTAAGCTTATTGTCTAAGACAATTCCCAAGAAAGGAACTTAATATTAAAAGAGATATTAAATTAAACTTAACGACTTCTCCTGTAATCAGCCAGTGACAAGTATAAACCATCACAGCTGATTTATTTGCAGCCAAAGAGAAACCATGATCAAATAACCAGCTTGTAAGGTAATATATGACATATTTAAGATCTACAATCGTGATAAGACTTACATACATCATCCGCGTACTGAATACACTTAATCGGTTGATCGAAGATCTCATGCAAGCTTGCCATGTAAATATTGAAAAGAAAGGGACTCAGAACGGATCCTTGAGGAATACCCTGGTTGACAATTCTAGGGCCATGCAGGTTATAGTGATCTCTCAATAACTTAATAATATTGTAAGAGGCGTTTGCATCGAAACCGTAAGAGGAGAGTTTTGTTTGTAAGATGTTCAGATCAACTGCGTCATAGATCTAAAACAATACAATAGGAATGAAGTGGATTTAGATGATGAAGAAATACAAATATTGTCCAAATATGATTTGAAGAAAACCCAGTTAGCCTTTTTTTGTTCCAAATATTTGAAGGAAACACCTTCTGTTTATTGGGATTATTTGTAATAGTAAGATAGGAAAATGATCAGGACCAATAGTATCAGAAACTTTTTCCATTCACATTTAGGTGCTAATATTGGTGAAGATATAGCAAGGTCTAAAGCAGAAAGAGGTGTGTTCGGGGCAGAAAATCGTGTGGGAGAGCCATCATTTAAACCAATTAAATTTAGGTTATTTAGAGCTTTAACTAGACCCAAACCACTTCGATCATTACTAATACTACCCCATAAGGAATGGTGACAATTAAAATTTCCACAGATTAATACCAGTAAGTTGAATTGAGAGAAGATGTTTTCCCAGTCAATAGTTGAAATGTTATTATTTTTCGAATCATTGTATAGCGGACTATGGAAATTTTATATTTTTCCAGATGAACAGCACATGCTTCAATTTTATTGTTATTATTTTGATTAATTTGTAATTGCTTGAAGGTTATTTTATTGGAAACGAATATAGCTACGCCATCATACCCATCTGCTCCTTTTTTAAAATTAATGAATATCCGTTAATATAATTTTTTGACCATTTTATATCTACATCTTTTGTTTTAATTAATTTAAGAAGTTTAGGTTTATTTTTATTTAGAGATCTTGAATACCATTGTATGATTGTAATTGCATTTTGGTTAGAGAGATGATTCACTGTCGCTATTAATTTCCATTAGTTCTGTTTCGTTTTCAAAATTAAGTAAATTTTAAATAAATACCCTAATATCAGAATTAAGGTTAGAAATTATATTTTGATTATCATTAATTTTGGATGGAGAAGGATATGATAAAAATACGCTATTTACAAATTTGGAAATACCGTCAATGAGTGATTCTTTGACGGTTGACTTTTTTGATTTTTTGTTTTCCGGTAACGGGGTAAAGGAGAACGCGGAGGAGATGCTGCTTTTCGTTTTTTTTTTTTATTTGTATTATTATATTTCGGTTTTCTAATACAAGAATTAGTAGATGGGAAATTGGGAAACGAAGCAGACGGTAAAGAAGGAAAATTTTATAAATCATTCAATACGTCAAATCAATTATTAGTAACTACTTTTAAATAAGAGGGATTATTGACTAAAGCTTTAACATCTTTGAATGATATGTTGTTATTTGCCATTTTTTCTTTAATTTTTCTTTGTTGCATGTAGTAAGGATAATCTTTGGACATGGAGGAATGACTATTGACTTTGCAATATAAGCAGAAAATATTATTTGCATTACAGGTAATATTTTCCTCATAAACCAATGTGCAAATTTTGCATCTAACTTCTTTAGCCTTGCATAATTTGGATGTATGTCAGTATCTCAAACAACGCATACATTGGATTACTGGATGAATATATTTTTCTACAGGGAAGTGTGACAAATTTATTTTGACAGACTGGGAAATTGAGTTGCCTAAAGAGGTCACAATAATCATTTGACGTGGAACATTCTCTGCAAGTTAACGATTTATTAGATTCAATGGACGATTTAAGATGAACTTGGTC